CCGAATCTGTTCATCAGTCCATCAACCAGATTCAAAAGTCATTGAGAAGGAATCTGATGATGAGGAGCTGGCAGAAGAACAGCTTTCTTAGGTGAGGAATCCATGAACATCTGGGGACCCCAGGTTGGAAACCGTTGGGTTAGAACAGTGGTGTCCAACCTTGGCCCTCCAGATGTTCTTGGACGTCAACTCCCAGAAATCCTGGCCAGCAGAGGTGGTGGTGAAGACTTCTGGGAGCTGTAGTCTAAGAACATCTGGAGGCCCAAGGTTGGGGACCACTGGAGATGCAAGAGACACATAGGCTAGAAATGGACCAATTTATTCACCGAGCATAGGAAGAGGCAGATGTATAAGTGTACAGAGAGCAGAATAACTCATAAAAAAAGTTCAGGCTATTAGTACAGACTATGCAAGACCACAATAGGGTCTGTTTTTGAGTAGACCCAAAGAGAATTGAGCTGTGTGTTGTACGTTGTGAAGGAAAGTGCTTAAATTGGTAAGGATAATGTACAAAAGTGAGATTTGGGTTGGGTTCAGTGTTATAGGGTCTACTGACCCAGCGGTGCATAAAACCGGATGCTTCAAGGGGGGGGCTGTTTTTGAGACCAGCTGGGTCTGTGACTTACCAGCATGGGGTGGTTTGCAGCTGAATTGCACAGGATTTGTCCATGGGAGAAAGAAATACCAATTGCTTCACCCGTTTCCCAAGACGCCGGCGAGGGTTTTTCAAAACCCGTTTTTTTTGCAAGCCAGATTGAGCAAAGATAGCAGGAGACGATGTGGAGCAATTTTATGGAACCCGAGGAGGAGATAACATCAGGTGGTCCCTGAACATGTTCCGTTCGGCAGTAAGAAAAGAGAAAATGCTCCTTAAAAAAAAAAAGCAAGAAAGCTACACTTACCTCTGGCACTTATGATATAGAGGCACAGGGTCGTAGAGATGTCTCTCTGGGGAAAGCAGTCCAGGTTGGCAAAGCAAACAAAATAAAACAAATAAAGTCTAATTTCTTCCCACCTAGAGATGGGTGGTCCCTCAGCAGCTGAGGGCAGCCAGGAGTTAAATTTCAGATGTCGTAGTTGGCATGAATATCTAGCCAGAAGGACCACCTTTGACCAGCAGGGTTATGAATTGGTGGATCTCTGAGGTTGAACTTTTTGGCTTCTGAGTTGATTCACAATAATAGGAGTCACTAGCAGTGCTGTAACCCTTATACTGTACTACACTGTCTCTCACAGGTAGGGTTACCAGATGTTAGGCAAAAGGAGGACATGTCCTCCTTTTTAGCCTAATGTCCTCCGTCAGGCAAGCAAAGATAAAATGTCGGGCTTTTGTATATTTTATGTTATAGTTTTGGATGGGAGGGGGGAGGTGGAAGGACCCCCTTCCCCCTGGCTTTCCCCTCCCCCACCTGCCCGCCCACCCCCGGGATTTTGGAAAAAAAAGCCTCAATTGAATTTATTTTTAATTTTTAACATGACTGTTTCTTGGTTGGTTCACTAAGAGACATTTATTGGCAGCTATTGTAATAAAATTGTATTGATTGTGGGTTTAATCTGGAATGAGTCAAATGAAATATTCAATATGTCCTCCTTTGTCCTCCTTTTTGTCTTTCTATGTCCTCCTTTTAGTACCCGTGTATCTGGCAACCCTACTCACAGGGCCTTCTCTGTGCTGGGAAGAGCTATCCCTGCCCAACTGGATTCATGGAAAATGGGACAGAACTTCACTGCAAACTTTGTTTTAAAGAATCAACCACTATTTCTTAATGGCTTTCATGTCCAACGTGGAAGGAATTTGCATTTCAAAAGACTGAACAGAGAAAACGAAACCCCCAATTGTTTTCCCTAGTCGTCCTCCCAAGCCTCTCCTGGATAAGATTACCTTGCAGAGCAAGACTTGAAAAACACGAATCCGTCCCTTTACTCTCAAGGGGAAACACGATAAAGATTTCAGCCTGTAGTAGATTTCCACTTTCTTTTTTTTCCAAAGCCATCTTGGAAAAAACCCAGGAAAGTCTTTCGTCATTCCCCCCACTTTCGATGAGATGTGGACATGACGAGGTTCCAAAGATCCATTGTTCACTTAAGGATCCGCGCATGCTGTAGTCATTCAGTAGCAGAGGCTGTTTTTCCAGGACGGATGGGCAAAGCCAAGCCAGAGCAATGCCAGGAGAATTAAACTGGCTTAAGTCTTTCAGGCCTCTTTAAAAAAACCCAACAAAGTCAGTGATCCTTCAAGGATTTTTTTTTAAAAAAATGCAAATAAAGGAATTTAGGAGATAGAGATTAGGTTTAAGATGACAGGATCTTCTCTAGGTTTAACATCTATTGACTTCAAAGGAATAAAGTCGGGAGAACAGTCAAGGTCTATAGATTAATTGCTCGGGATTTGTTAGAAAGAGAGAAAGAGGAATACCTTCTTTCTTGCATCAGGCATTTCCTAAAATACCCGCAGTGGCCTATATTTCAAGTTTTGTAAAAAAGAAAAAAAAAAGGTTGAGCAAAGCTAGTGGGAGATCAATGAAGCAACCTAAGAGGGGGGAAATACACCAGTTCGGCAGTGAAATATTTGGGCCTAAAGACAAGTTCCAACCCGAATTTTGAACTGACTGCTAAGTGGGAAGGTCAACATTCATGGGAGGCCCATGGGATGATATGGGTCTTCTCTGGGTGGAACATAATTCGAGCCGTTCTGGAGTGAGAAAGTACGATAAAAGTTCACCAGGAGAGATTAATCTTTGGTGGGCACCAGAAGATAAGCCATAGAGCAGTGGTCCCCAACCTTAGGCCTCCAGATGTTCTTGGACTACAACTCCCAGAAGCCTTCATCACCACTTGTGCTGGCCAGGATGTCTGGGAGATGAAGTCCAATAACATCTGGGGGCCCAAGTTTGGTGTTGACTTGGCGCTGTGGGTTAAACCACGGAAGCCTCTGTGCTGCAAGTTCAGAAGACCTGCAGTCGTAAGATCAAATCCACGCGACGGAGTGAGCTCCCGTCGCTTGTGCCACATCTGGAGGCCCAAGGTTGGGGACCACTGCGTTAGAGGACCTCCTAGATGTCTTTAGGGACATGGTTTAGGATGTCAGTGGAGGAATCCCAAAGGAACCAGGTACTCCAACACACTGAGCCACCTAGAGTGGTCGCAATGACCAGATAGGCGGGGTATAAATGAAATAAATAAATAAATGAACGACTCTGTGCCCTATAAACTTAGTGCCCTAGGTCAGCCCTTTAGCCACCCTTTCCTAGCCACAAAGCTCATTTGACCTGGCCCATAATTTTTTCCTTCCTCTGACAAACAACATGCTGTCCCATCACATCCAGAAGATGACTGGACGGTGGTTGACCCTTTCTTCAACTCTAAGGATGGGATAGCCTTTGCCACCACGGCCAAAGGAGGCAGGCTGGTTGAGACAGGCCAGGAAAGGCCTTATGCAGCAAACCCTTCCAACGTCTTGCAGCCATCTCCAACCATCTACTGCTTGAGGTTTTACTCTCTGTTTTGTGGTAGGACTACAGGTCCATCTGAAGGCAGCATGCACCCATGCTTGCCGGTGTCAACATTTTAGTAACCTTGACCATGCTCTGATGGTCACCCATTGGGTTGGAGGTCAACCCAACCATGGCGCTGGTGAGGATGGTGGCATCAGGGTGGCGCCTTGTTCCACAGCACCAGCATTGGCAAGCCAACTTCAGTGGATGCCGTTCTGTCCCTTCAGCGCTGTTTGGAGGCTATACTGCAATGGATGCAAGAGAATGGGTAGAGGCTGAACCTGGACAAGACAGAGGTCCTGAGGGTCAGTGGCCCCTGCATTGGTGGCTTGGGAAACTCCCTCTCTTTGGGGAGTCTGACTCTCTTCATGAAGAGTGATGTTCGCAGCTTGGGGGGTCATCTGGATCCAGTGCTCACCATGAAAACCCAGCTGTGTCCCTATCTTGATGGTGGGGCCCTCACCACTCTGGTCCATGCACTTGTAATCTCGAGATTAGACCACTGTAATGCGCTCTACATGGGGCTACCTTTGAGACTGATGCAGAAGCTTCAGATGGTGATTGACTTCAACGTGTTAGTGATGACGTATAAAGCCCTAAAACGGTTTGGGACCTCAATATTTGGCAGATCGCCTTCTTCCACCTAGATCTACCTGAATTACTTGGCACAGCCAGGAGGGAGGGTTGAGGGGCCTAACGCCGAGAGAGGCCCGGAAAGAAAGAACAAGAAACTGGGCCTTCTCGGCGGTGGCCCCTCGACTTTGGAACAGCCTTCCAACGGAGATCCGCCTGGCACCCTCGCTGGGAGTTTTTAAGAGCCATTTAAAGACTTGGCTCTTTAGGCAGGCCTTTCCCTCCTGTCAATTCTTGAAATCTATCTTCTTGTTTTCTATCATTCTCCATCTTGAATACACCACATTATTGATCCAGTTGTTTAATGATTATGATGTTTTTATGATATTTGTAAGCCGCCCCCTGTAGATGCTGTCAGGGGGGTGGGTAGAAATCTAATGAATGAATGAATGAATGAATGAATGAATGAATGAATGAATAAATAAATAAATAAATAAACCACTCAACGGCGGTTAGGCGGGACAAGGAGTTGAGGGCACTGTGGGTCCTATGCCCAGCTTTCAGGTTTGATGGCATGCCCTAAAGATGCCTATTTCCCTGGACATCTGAGCTGCTGCAATGCCGACAGAGACAGATCAGCGAAAGTCTGACCACACTGGAATTTTCCCTGGCCTGGAAAACATCTGCCGACTGAAGGAGTGGAATCAGCCCTCAAAGATTTTCCACACAGGCAGGTCGAGTGGGCTAAAGGCTATCTTTCCTCCTGCTTTGATGGTCACAACGCTGATGGAAAAATTGGAGTTAAGAAAGAGGGTTATGTCATTGATTGCTGATGGTTATCAGCCCAATAAGCATTGTTTCAACACCAACCAGAGCCTTTTCGAGAGGGTACAAAAGGACCCAGGGGTCCAGTCAAATCCATTCTCAGTTTTGGGTCCTTACAGACGGTGACTTGAGCTTCTGAGAGCAGGTAAGTGAAATCTTTGCCGATCCGCAGCCTGCTTGTGTGTTTGACGAGGGAAACAAGAAAAGCTCTTTCAGGTTGACTGGTAAGCCTATTTGCTCAGAAGGAATTCTGAGTTGAACGCAGTGGCATTGATTCCAAAATGCATGGGCATTGGGTTGCAGTTTTGCTGAGTTATGGGCACTCCTTTTGTAGGAAACTACTCTGTTTCCAATGGGGCTTACTCCCAAGTAAGTGCAAATGCACACCGGGAGCCTTAAACCAATCTGAGATCATGCAGCATCTCTCAGCTGAAGCATACACCAAATGTCAACCTCTTAGTTCATGTGTGTGTGAGTGCTTAAAAATTTGGGAGTCCTTGGATCAGAAATGTAGAGTTACCCAGTTTACAGATGTTTCCAGTCACAGGTTTCGTCCTCATCATGTGTAGAAGAGGCTGCTCTTAAAACCTCTATTGTACTCCTTTCCCCCTTCCAGATACCTCCAGAACCATGACTCAGCTGGAAATTGCCTTTGAAACTGTCATCAATGTGTTCCACCAATATTCGGTCCTCAAACCTCACCCGGATAAGCTGAGCAAAGGAGAAACCAAGCAGCTGATGGAGAAGGAGCTTCCAGAGTTTCTGAAGGTGAGCCCAGCTGAAAAGTATTTGAAGGAATGGGGGCAAAAGGTAGTGGTCAATGTGGTTGTTTATGTGCCCCTGGTTGTCGTTAGATTGCCAGTCCCATGAACACTATGACTGAGGAGGGATGACATGGGTTAGAAGCCAACAACGTCTAGAGGAACAGTCTGACAACATCTGGAGTCCAAGATAGGGTGTCCAGTGGCATCAGCTGCTGGATAAAATGCCCAGAAGACTCCATTGTTGGTTTAGGCAATGAAAAGCATGTCGCTCAGGTACAAGAGAGGCATTTGCAAAGGGCTAGTGAAGCCTAGGAAATGGGGAGAAAGCTAGCTACAGGAGCCAAGTAGAACTTCCATATCCGGAAGTAGTATACCAGAGGCTGGAGATAAACAGCAGAGCACACCTTCCTTTTTCCACATAGCACTTGTGAAATTTGCAGTGAATCTGTCTGGCTGCTCTTTTAGCTGGCGCCGATGGTTGGCATCTCAGATCTCAGCTTCTCTCCCCGAGACTCAAATTTTGGGGTCCATTTTCCAAATCTTAGGCTTTGAAGCTCAAATCTCAGAGAACAAGGGGCTGCCAAGGAGGCGGCAGTCCTAGCATTGGGCTTCAGCTTAATGGCTTGGTGAGTCCAGTTTCAGCAAAGCTGTCAATCCACTCTGGGTTTTACTCTGCCCTTTTCAAGACTTGAATCAATTTTGGCAATGGGCGAGCTTTCCGCACCTTGGACAGCTCCTGTAAAGTGGTACAGATTCACAGCAATCCCAGGATGGGAAACACTGGCTTCCCTGGCTTGATGACATACTGAGACATGCTTAGAAGCAGCTTTGGCCTTTCTCGTTAGCACTCATGTTCTAGAGTGGAGACTGCTAGAATTCACCCTTTGGGTTTACATTCATCCCATTGTCCATCACACTTAATACCCTCTTTGAATGGTTGCTGAACTGCCCACCCTTCATGATATCTCAACAACCTGCCGCTAGGTCTTAGGTTTGGGGCCTGAAATTTTAGAAAACAGGATGCTGCTCGCTAGAAAACCAAATGAGTAATAGGAGTAGATGGATCTTGCCCTATTGATTGAATAAGACAGATCTTGATTTTCATTTATAAGTAGCTAATTTTCCCCCCTTCTCTCTCTGTGACAGAAACAGGTGAACCCAAAAGGTATTGAAGAACTCTTCAAGGACTTGGACACAAATAAAGACCAGGACATCACATTCAAAGAATTCATGGGCATGGCCACCCAGGTCCTCATTGCAACCCATACAAACCTTCATAACGAGTGATGGGGCCGTGGCAGAGCTGCTTGTCTAGAAGCGAGAAGGGAACCCGGCAAGAAAAATGGAAAAGGAGATGGAGAATTAAAAAAGCATGAAAGGGATATGTTGACTTGAAGGTCATGCCTGGGGCAGAAATCGGCTGCAGTAAAAATGTGGTCAGATGAGTCGATATTTCTGTGGCACGGTGAAAGTGACAACAATAAAATATGTTTCATTCAACTCCTTGTATCCCTTGTTATTTTTCATGACCATCTTCCTTTGTAATGGCAGACAGGATTCCGCAGGGATCAGGGTGGCCCACTTCTTTCCCGGTCACAGGGATGGTGGTGAATGCATTCTGGGGTTTGGTCTGAATTTATTTATATTTTATATTTATTTTTAATAACTTGGGATAGAATTTCAAAGAGCTGTGGCCCAGAACCCTATTGTAAACGATCAAGTCCAGACAAAAACCCGGAGCGGATCCACCACCCTCACGACATTGGCATTAGCAGACCGTGCTGCTTCCACCTTAGATGGCAAGGATTTGGTTTCCCCCCTTGGCCACCAGGGTTCTTTGATTTCATATATTTCCTCCACGTGAGAACTTGCATGGATAATACCGCGGCAAGTATTTGGTTTTCCCCTTTGGCCACCAGGGTTCTTTGATTTCAAATATTTCCTCCACATGAGAACTTGCATGGATAATACCGGGTTTCTCTCTCCCCCCCCCCCAGTCGAGAGACTTGCCTCTGGACACGAGAAGCGATAAGGGCCTGATGACCTGAAAACAGCTGCGGGATGAGGGGGTGACATACAGCCCTCTTGATAAGATTGGATCTTCTTGACTCCTAGCATGTCTCTTTCGGAGCTGTGCTGTTGTGGCTGATGGGAGCTGAAGTCCAAGAACAACTGGGGGAGGGACTCACACTTTGTTGTATGGCTTGGGACCCTGTGTGGGGTGTGCAGATCTAAGTTACAGCCTATCTTACCTTCCAGGGCTGGGGAGGGTGAGGGAGATGACTCAGGATGCTGGATTTAGGCTGATGGCATAGAGGTGTTGAAATAAAAAGACGTACACTATATATCTGCTTCTTCACAACCTCAGACCATCAAGATGATCTCCTATTTTTTGGGGGGGGGGGAAGGATTTAGGCTGCTTGCATAGAGGTGATGAAATAAAAAGACATACACTATGTGTCTGCTTCTTCACAATCTCAGGCTATCAAGATGATCTGCTATTTTTTTGGGGGGGATAGAAAGATTCATAGGTGAATCTGTTCAGATTTTGTGTCTGGAATGCCAGGGGGTTGCCATTTTGTTCTGTGCCTCAGGCAGCAAAATATCTTGGGTCAGCCTTAAAATAAGTGAAAGGAAAACCATTTCGTCAAGGTATTTTTTTTAAAAAAATAGAACTATATACCACTTTTTTTCTCTCTCTCAATAAAAAATGACCCGGGTGCTTTTCAGCATAAGAATGAAACAAAACACAGGAAAAATGACAGCATGACTCAAGGGAAAGCAGGCAGTCATAAATCAAGCCCAGGCGAAGCCCAACAGATTTTGCTGCCTGAGGCAACGAACCCCCCCCACGAGGGCGAGACAACACCCCTTTCCACATACGTACAGAAGTCAACCGGACTGCTTGCTGAATTTTAGTTCAGGGCTGCCTGCTTCACAGGACAGGCTCTGTGGCAAGACAAGGCGTTTCCTCTAACAGAGGGGAAGGCCCGAGCGCTCAAAGGGAGGGCCAAGGAACTGGTGCCGTCCCCTGGAATTTGCCGCCTGAGGAGCTAAAAAGATGCAAGTTCTAAACGTCCGGGGAAAAACCCAGAACCGTAGACATTTTTGCTCACAAACAAATCCCAGCAGTTTTACTTGCAAGTAAATAGATGGAGGAGGGTACACCCAGACCTTGGACAAATAACACTGATTGGAGCAAAAGTCTGGTGGTTTTGAAGATGATGATGACAACCCCCCCCCTTTTCCCTGTTTCCCAGCATCACAGGTACACGGAGTGGACCCCGGCGTTGAGCTTAAAAACGAAGAGTCACGTCCTAAACTTTTATGAGTCAAGTGTCATGTTTGCAAAAGCACTGTTTTTTTTTTTTTTAAATGCTTTATTATTATTAAAAAGAGCAGCCCTCTTGGGGTGTGCTTTCCGATGGGCTGTGAATATCCCAATCCTTCTGCAATCACTTTCTTTTAGAGGGGAGGAAGAGGTAGCTAGCCTCTGGAGGCAACGAAATAGATGTCTGAGCAGAGAGAGAGAGAGAGCCATGAAATTTGCTTGTCTCTGCAGCCGGAGATGCCATGTGGATCTGCAGAGTTTGCCCTTCCATCAGTTTCACAGCAAACTCACAGAAGAGAGGTGAGAAGCAGGAAGGAAGTAACATGCCATACCGAGTCCATCCATGCCAGTCAATCCGTTTACTACAGTTATAAGACTTGTCCAGATACATGTCAACCAATTTACACAGGATACGAGGATCACATAAAGTTTTTTAAAAGCAGCAACAACAAAAATCAAGCGTCTTCCAGTAAGGAGATCCTTCTTTGTAGCAGAGCAAGGGAAAAGTTCTCAACTTGAGCAGTAACGAAAGGATTCCGGTCGGACAAACAACACACAGCTAATCGTTTGTTGGGATAGCCTTGGGATTTTTGCAAGAACTTACAACATAGAAGGATCATGAGCCCCAAATGTGCAGGGACACTATCTCTCTTGATGGGGAAGTCCCAAAAATCTACCCCGGAGCAACGCTGAGGGTAGAACTTGAATCTAGCCAGCTAAAGGCCTGCGAGCTTAAGGTGTTCTTTGTTAAGCTGCAGAAGACATGTATATTGGGGGACACCCCATTTGCAATAAAGGAGCAGGTTCTGTTCGCTAGGGAAAACAGCTCTTATTATATACACTAGAACCCCCCATGTTTGTGTAGGATTGGCTCCAAGCCCCCTGTGAACGCTCAAAAATACAGATTATCACAAACACTATACTTATCATGGACCTTGGCTAGTGTCCAGTTCTGGCGATGACACTGTGGAAATACATTTCTCTTATGAATCTTATGCATAACATGGTCTCCGGTGGCCAGTTCTGGCAACCTCATCTATAGAAGTATATATTTGGGGGATTTATTTTGATTTTTATTATATTCAGACCGTGGATAAGTGAAACAGTGGATACAGATTCACTTGGATTCCGTGGATAAGGGGGACAGAGCTGGGGCAAAAATGCTGATTTGTGCACATGCACATGTACTCAAGGGCACACAGACACACAAAGAGGTCTCTCTCTCTCTCTCTTTCACACACACATCTATGGGGAGAGAGATAGGGGAGGCATGGTGCCAAATAACACTGGATATCAAACTCTCTCTCTCTTTCACACACACAACTACGGGGAGAAAGGGGGGGCATGGTGCCAAATAACACTGGATATCAAATAACCTATCTTCAGCAAAACACGAGCATACACCGAGCCAAAATAAATAGCCAAAGAACGGCAGCATCTTTCAAACAAACCTACTGCGTGTTTGAGATGTGTTCAGGGGCGCGCCCGCTGGGAAGGGTGTGCAGCTTTTAAGAAATGGCAGAAAAACTTTCCAGTGTCACCGTCCACCCTTAACGTCTTCATGGCCATTAGCGGCCACCGTGGGCGTTAGGAAGTGCTCTCTCTGTTGAATCTGAGCCTGGCTGGTGGAAATACCGTTAGCGCCTGTTTTCGTAGAGCTTGCAAAAATTCGTTTTCGTGCATTCCCTCTCGTTGACCAAAATTCGCAGCTCACCATTTCGGGATGCAAAGAACATGATATTTATTTATTTATTTAAACAAATGTAAAGTAGAAGAGAGAAAATGGACAGATTGTCCCATCTCTGCCCAGGGTAAAAAGAGAAGTTTGGGGCTGACATTGATTTTTGAGCATATGAGCGTTAATACAGGGATCGGTGGCCTGTTACGAAAGCACAGCCTTGGGGACGAAAACGAATGGAATTCCAAGGGACAAATGAAAACTTTAAAAAACAACAACCCAGAAAGCACCTTGTTTAAATAAGAAGTTAATTATGCGTTGTCAAGTCGGAATCGATGGATAGCGACCCTAGTAGGGCTTTCACGGGAAGTGAGATATTTAGTAAATAATCATCTTTGACACACTGGGACCATACGGATCATTGACTCTAGCTCCTCTCAAGGAGACCCATTGGGGATTCGAACCCCCAACCCCTGGCTCCACAGACAGATTCCTAAACCACCGAGCTAGCCCATAATCTTAGAACGGCAGAGCTGGAAGAGACCCGTGGATCATTCAGTCCAGTCCATGTCAAGGAGGCACAGCGGGAATTCGAACTCCCAACTAGACCCCTAAACTCTTGCGCTATCCAGATGTCCTAGTTTCCATGGCTGAGGGGGCGTTTCGAACCCAGGCACTCTGACTCCTCGTCCTTCGCTCTGTCCTCAACACGACACTGGGCACCCCTTCAATTCAGACCCAGTGCAATTTAGCTAATCTTTCTTCTGTTAAGACTTGCTTATAAGATTATAATTGAAGTCATGTTTTTGAGCCTCGGTGACAGCCGAAGCAGTAGAACCCTCCCACCCAGCCTTCAGTTACTTGACGCTCCCTGGATTTGGTATGCAAATGTAAACCTTTGAACTTAGCTCATGTCCCAGAACTGGATATACCCGCATTTCTACATTTCCACGTCCTTATGCAATATTTCAGACTTCGTACCTTCTTCCTGGTAAAGGCAGAAGATCTGGTCGCTAGAGGGACATGGGTAAGGGGACCAGCCTGCTTTTAGCAAGTGAACGTCAAAGTTCAGCAAAATAATCTCTTTGGACTACAATGTCCATAATCCCCTAAAGATCCTATCTGGGAGGGTTCTGTACCCCCCAATGTTTGTCTTATCTCAACTTTGGGAAGTTTGTCTTCACATATAGCCCCGTGTCCTTTCTAATTCCCACGCCAGCCTCTGATTTAAAATTTGAATTACATTAAATTATAATGAATATGTCCATTTATTCTCATAGGCCACTTTCCTTCCTTGGCATGTTTTTCCATGCAACTTTCCCTAAGGCAAGGATTTTAGAGTCCTCTCCCGAGCCACGTCATCAATAGGGAGGGCTCAGTTCAGGTTTTCTTGGACTCCAACTCCCAGAATCCTCTAGGCAGAATCTTGGGAACTCCAGTCCACAGATACACAAACTGCTACACACCCACCCACCTCTATTTCGCTCACCTGGACAAAGGCCTGTCTTCTAGGGTTGAATCTGGTACCCATTAGGCTATTGAGAAGGCACCTCCCAAAGAACTACAGTGGTGCCTCACTAGATGATGACAATCCGTTCCACTGAAATCGCTGTCTAGCGAAATCATTGTCTAGCGAAAAGCAAATCGTTGTCTAGTGAAAATCGGTTTACGAAGCAGGGACCAAGCATTGTCCAGCGAAATTCCCCCATAGGAATCACTATAGCTATAGCGATCGCAAAAAGTCGATGTCTAGCGAAAAAACTGTCATGCGGGGTAACCGTCTAGCGAAGATCATGAGGAAGATCTAAAAGATCCAAGCCTCCCAGGAAACACTGGGATAGCTTCTTTTTTCAACATTAACAACAGGATGTATGCCTCAGACAGCCTGGGAGATAGACTGTGTTCCAGGCGAGTGAAATACAGGTATCCTTTGGTGTGTGTGTGTGTGTTGCATGCTGAAACTCCCAGAATTCTTTTTGGAGTCAAATTCTGCCTCGTTTTTGATTTTTTTTAAAGTTCAGAAAAATGTTAAATTTTATTCCCCCAAGAGATCTGCTGAAGCCCGAAAGGATCAGTCAGATCCACTATCATCAAAATTTAGTAAAATTGTAGAAAGTTCTCTTCAAGCACGACAAGAGAGAGACGCTAAGCCGTCTGGATTTAGAGGCTTTTAATTAGTCACAGACTCAGTTGGGGATTAGCCCTGAGGATCGGAGAGGAGAGGGTGAGCGGGCCACAGAGGTGCTGAGTGAACGGGACAAAACACACACACACACACACACAAATGTACACCCCACAGGTTCCTCCTTGCCCTCTGCAACAGGCAAAAGGGGGAAAGATGACCCGCTTTGGATTTCACAAGCTTTTGTTCTGCTCGAGTCTTCGTCTCAACACGCCCGGCAGGATGGCGTAAGAGCAAGAGCTCAAACCTTGCCTGGATGGGTGGACATCTCCTGCAGGAGACAGAGGTCACGGAGAGTTGAGGGGGGAGAAAGGAGCTGGGCTCAGCTGCCAATGGGGGCCAGTCCTCACATTGGCTGGAGACTACGAATCCCATCAGCCCCAGGCAGAAAGACCCCCAAGGGAGGGTCTTGCCATCTCCAAAGCAGAAGCTTGGTGGCAACAGAGTTTAGGCAGGTCCCGGCTGCTACAGACTCGATAGCTTTGCTCTCCTAGGTCACGCAGGAAAAAATGTACGCATCTCTGATGTTTCCGTGATGAAAATGGGAGGGCCTTCTGTCATCCATTCGTTCATCGTTACTCGGCTTTCCATGCCGAGAATCCTATCATTTATAGGGAGTACGAAAAGGGGAACGAGGAGAGTCACGAGAGAGGTATAGAATATTATCCGTGGCGTGAAGAAAGTAGGTGAGGGGAGGACTTTCTCGTCTTAAAAGACTAAAACCTAAGACAGCTCATCGTTGGAGGCGGAAGTTACGAAATTTGGGGACAAAGAAGTATCTTTGGTCCCATCACGTCCTTTAGAACTACCCTTTGGCCCTGTTTTGGTTCTGTGCTGTCCTGCACCTTCTGGTTTAGGGTTGCTCCACGACTTCATGGTTTCTGGGTTGGGAGTTTGATTCCCCGCTGGGTGTCCTTGACAGGGGCTGAAGATCTATAGGGTCCTTTCCAGCTCTGCAGTTCTAAGATTATGAGGGCTTTTCCAGGTGGAACTAAAGCTATAGAAATGACCAGGAAGCGAGATTTAGGGTTCATGGTTTCTGGGTTGGGGGTTCGATTCCCCGCTGCGTGTCCTTGACAGGGGCTGAAGATCTAAAGGGTCCTTTCCAGCTCTGCAGTTCTAAGATCATGAGGGCTTTTCCAGGTGGAACTAAAACTATAGAAATGACCAGGAAGCGAGACCATATGTGGGGCACATTGGAGGTTCATGCCACCTCTGGTTTACATCCATTCTATCCAAGGATCTCCATTCCATTTCAGAAAAAGCCGGCAGGAATGTCTATCTTTTCCCCAAGTTTTTTGCTCCCTAATAATAGCTGTCAAGTCAATGCCGACTCAGAAGAGGTTGACATACCCTTCTTTTGGGGCCACCCTGAGGCTGTATAGCTGGCCCCAAGGCTACCCAGGCTGGTTCTTTTCCCAGGAGGCCCAGTGGGGGGAATCGAACCTGGCAGGAATGTTGAACCCCCGACCTCTGGCTCCACAGCCAGAGATCTAAACCATTTGAATTCTCCAAATATCTCAAAGCACTTCGTTTTCTCCTTCCCTTTGACCTCCTTGGAAGAGGCGTGCTCTCCATAGTTTGGTAACCACCAGCGACCAAAGCTCTTACATAAGTCACCAATGTTTACCTTTATTAAGAGCAACATGAGAACCCAAGTCATTCCTTGACAGGCAGGGATTGTGACTCCCGGACCAATGTGGTTTTATACCTCTGGTACACTCTGTCTCCATTGTTCTCCTCCCTGACAGTATCTCGCCCCACCAAATTAAAACAATTAATAAATGTATAGCTAAGCTCCCTGGTTCATATGATCTCTGGCCTGTTGTGACTCACGAAAGAAAAGGTGAAAAAGATAGGGAGGTGGGTAAGAGATTTAATAGATTTCGGACATACCTGGTTGGTTTTGGGAACAATGCTCCCCGTTGGGTGTGACAAAGCTCTTGATCCCATGTATTCACATTCACAAACATGCATGTACCCACAAAGGCATATCCAGGGATAATACCCCGAGAAAGGGCTTAGTTTGGGGAGGGGTTCGAGAGCCCAAAGGAGGGGAAACACCACCTGTTGAATGACTACGGAGAAAACAGGGCTATAAAAGACCCAGCCATCGCTGGTCTCAGCATCCCATCTCATCCTTGATCGTGCGATTGCTTCTGAAAAAGGTACGTTTTCTTCCTCTTACCTTGAAGATCTTAGGTTCTGGTTTTCCATCCAAGCTCTGAACTTACCATTCCAGAGCGCTCGTTGGACAAATCAGCTTTCGATGAGATTTCTTTCTGACTCTATTTGATGGGGTTGACGGTGCCTCCCGGGGATATTGGCAGGTCTTTAGATCCGGGTCCTAAGTCCCAAGCTTGAGTCCCTACTAAAAACAAGGGTGGGTGGGTTCTGAGTTGCCAGTTGAGTCTGAATCATTAAAAAAAACTGAGTTGAGTCACCAGTGCGATTTAAGTACAACTTGACGGCGTCTGGAGGCCTCCTGATACCACCCGGAGCATGTCTAAGAAACTGATTGTTTCTGACTTCAGTTAGGATGGAATGCTTCCTAAATATGGGTTTGGCCTAACCGCTTCTGTTGTAGGAATTAACAAGAAACTGGGCTCCAGTGTGTAAGGTTTTACCAACGTTCACAGGCATCGTCAGCAAAATTCGCACTGCTAGCCCAAAAAGTCCCCCTTCTCCCTGCATGGGAAAGCGACTCTCCTGTAGACCTTGTTGATTCCACTGGGTCTACTCCAGCAACGACGAGATTGAGGTTTTCATGTCTGGGGTGGAAAGAACACAAGATTTAAAAACCTTCGAATGCGGGTCACCAAATGAAACCGATTCCCCCCTTCCGCACCCAGGGCTTCGGACACTTATTTCTGCTGTGCGTCTCCATCCGGTGCTGAAATTCAGCACGGCACCGATTTTCTCCTGAGGGAGTCTTGATTTCGAATCTCTGGTAGAAAAACAGAGGGTCCTCTCCATGCTTGGAACGTGCCAGTTCCAAGTGGAGAAGAATTGCATTCCACAATTGTATCAGAAGGATGTTTTTCCTCACCTAAATTTCCATATTTATGTGTATTTTGGGATGGGAAGAGGCAGAGGTTTGAAAAACTGAAGGCGGAAGGGGCCGCTTTCCCCCCATTTTCTCGTTGCAGGTTGGAAACCAAATTCTTCAGAATGGCTACCAAGACACCAATGCAGGCTGCCTGTGATCAGGTCGTTGAAATCTACGAGAGGTATGCTAACAAGGATGATGTCCTGGATAAGCATGAATTAAAGAAGCTGGTAGAGGAGCAGTTTCCAGATTGCCACAAGGTAAGGGTGCTTGAGGATGGAGCTGAATTGAGTCTTCTCTTTTCCAAAGAAACGCCTCTTGAGAAATAGTCCCTTTCGGAAACAAGGATAGTAAACGTTGATCAAGGGATTGTTTATAAAATTGGGACCCCATCTGTACAAGATTCAAGGGAAAAGGCAATAAGGCTGGGAAAGGTGGGAGTAAGCAGGATAAGAGGAAGACCCAATGTGAGACAGATAGGATCCCTAAAGGAAACCATAGGCTTGAGTTTGCAAGAGCTGAGCCAGGCGGTTGAGGATGGGGCATTTTGGAGAGGGCTTGTTCAAGGGGTCACCATATGACAGGAGACTTATTATTATCATCACTGTATTTTCCGTATATAAGACACCCCATGTATAAGACGCCCCCCCCACTTTTCTAATCCAAAATTAAGAAATCTAAGTGGGGCTTAGCAAGTGTAGAGGGAAAGGGAGGAGCGCTTTGATCCCTGCTTTTCCCTCCACTTGTTTTTGTTCGCGCCTCAGCTTACTTTCGTGTATAAGACAGCCCTCAATTTTTAGCCTAAAATTTTTAGAGAAAAGTATAGTCTTATACACTGAAAAATACGGTATTTTTATTTTTGTTACAGACTTGACAGCCTGTAACAACATCTTTTGCCCCCTTAGCTGATAAGAATCGATAAGGCTCTCCCCTTCTCCATCTGATTCTTACGCTAACCTTGTGAGGTAGAACAGATTAAGAGGGCACCCGGTACGTTTTCACGGCTGTGAGGGGTATTTCATTCTGGCTTGTCCAGCCCTTGTTCAGCCTTAAATTTTGGGCTAATTGGTCAATAGGTCTGATCCAGGATAAGACATTCTCCTACTGTCTTTTCCAAAGCAAGTAAGATTTGTGTTTGGCTTCCACACCTGCTATAATTTGAAGCTGTGCTTCTTTTGACTTGAGAACTTCACTCCTCGTCTGCTTTAATTATTTTGGCTCCCGAGTGTAGTTTTGAAAACCTTCCATAATTTGATTTAAGGAGGTGACCGTAGACAGCAGGCTGTCGTCCCGCTCCACCATCTTACTAATTCTCCTCATTCTCCCCCCTTCAGCAAGCTGGCACCAGTCTACCCTCCTGGATCTCCAGGTTTACAACATCAGCAACTTCTTTTATTCATCAGTTGAGGGCGGACAGCTGTCACGGCTCGGTTGGCTCTTCCTCCCTTGCCCGTTGGGCATCGGTGCCTTCTGTGTAACCCAGACTGGCAGGCTCTCTTCTCCTCAAAATTACACACAATGCTTTGCCTGCGTCTTTGGTTTGCAGGGCTCAAATCCTGGCCTCCTTGGATCGCCTTTCCGGTCTCTTGTTCGAAAGTTGGGCGTTGGGGAGACTCATTGTGTCCAAATTAGAGAAGAGCTAGGAAAATGTTGGAGCAACATGATATCAAACTCTCCAAGGAAAGATGGAAAGAACTGGCCCTGTTTAGCCTTGAGAAAAGAAGACAGAGGGGAGATAGGATAGCACTTTTCAAAGACTTGAAAGGGAGAGACAGAATCTGTTCTTGATCATCACAGAGTACAGGACATGTAAGATTGGGCTCAAGTTATGAGAAGACAGATTTGGGCTGAATATCAGGAAAACTTCTTAACTATTAGAGAAGTACAACATGACCTTGGGAGGTGGTGAGCACACCAATGCTGGAGCAATCTGTCTGATCTGCTTTGACTTGGCTTCCTGCCTTTAGCAGGGGGTTGGACTTGATGGCCTCAGAGGCCCCTTCCAACTTTGTGATTCTCTGATTCCTTCAAGATTCCTCCTCTTTTGCTTCTGGATAGGACAGTCTTTGACCAAAAAGCTTCTGCTTGCCAAACCCTTATTTTAGGAATTGTCCTGCCGTTCAATGAAACACAGATCGTGTTGGAGTCCTTCATTTTCCTCTCTTTTTGCAGCATATCCAAAACAATGAAGCTGTCCATAAACTCTTCCAGGAACTGGACAAAGATAAGAACGGCACCCTGGATTTTCTGGAATGTATGGCCATAGTTGCGAGATATGTCCACGCTACCCATGAGAAGCTTCATGGCCGTGGGGAAGGAAAGGACCCCCATTGCCACCCCCATGGCCACCCCCATGGCCACTAAGAAGGAGAGCTAGCAAGTAGCCGAGGATGATGTCCAGAGAAAGAATGAGATAAATTACGCAATAAATCAAGACAACGCCCCCTCCTTCCTAAATGCTCTTGTTTGGAAAACAAAGCTTCTGGTGAAAATCAATGAAATAAATTTTTTGCTTGCAAAATGTTGGGTGCATGATTTCTTAAATCATTGTGGAATGTTTTTGCACTTAAATTGATACCTGGGAAAGAAAGATTAAGGTTTCTCCTAAAAAAAAAACCCGAACCACCAAACTTTTCCATATGATCCAAGCCACAAGATGTCGTGTGAGCTGCCAGCTTTAGAAAGGAGCTAGTCAATGGTCGCTGGAGAAAGAAAGTGGGAGGCAGCGGGAAATGAGGAACAGTAAACATGAGATGGATTGACTCCATCGAGGAAGCCACAACCTTGAGTTTGAAAGAGCTGAGCAGGGCAGTTAAGGATGGGATCCTTTGAAGTTAAGGATGGGATCCTTTGAAGGTCACCATCAGTTGGAGTGAGTTGATGGCCTTCTAACAACAACAGGCTGGTAGATGAAAAAAATGGATCTAGTCAGTTCATGACTGTGAGGCCCACCCACGAATACCAGTCAAAGTGGTTCACAGCTTGGAAATGATATGTTTTTTGGATTCCAGATCTCATGCCAGCTGAGAATTCTGGGATCTGTACTCCTAAGAAGGTAACATTCCCAATTAGGTAACATTCCCAATTCCCAACTCTCAATGAGGTGGATATATACCCTTTCCAGGAACAGAGGTGGAGTCACACTATTTATCATTTGCTAGGGAGCAGTGAGAAGGACTGTTTTCATATCCTCATGGTGGCCTTCCCGCTGGGCCAGCTGGTTGGCCAGCAAGAGGACCTCATGCTAGCCTAGACAGGCTGTTGATCTGATCTTCCATAGCATCTCTTCTTGTGCTTATATTCCAAGCATTGTCCCCCAGGAAGCAGAATCCAAGAAGGAAAGGTGATTTTCCTTCTGAGGGACTTTCCTCCCGTTGGACTTTGCAAGAAGCACCTTTGCTCAATGGACTCATCATCATCATTCCCACCAAGGCAAATGGGGTATTGCTCTATGGACCTTCACAAGCGCCCAACATAAGCCAACATTACTCAACCAGACAAATATTCTGTGGGTTGCAGTTCTTAAAACCAACTGGAGGCCCATATCAGTTGAGATGTTTAGAAAAGTTGCGGGAGGGATGATGAAAAGGGCTGCTTCTATTTCAACATCCTTTTGAGAGGCCCTCCAAGACATCATACCACGTTGTGTACCTTGCGAAGACCACAAGATAGAAATTATACGTGCTATGGAGTCAGAAGCTCCAGTATCACGTGGGCATAATTTCCAGTGAAGGGGTCACCTCCAAAGCAACCAACCTTTCACATGAGAGCTGGAAGGAAGGAAGGAAGGAAGGAACACTCTTCACATGCTCAAAGAAGAAGTGTGGTGTTGTGGATGGAGTACCAGACTGGAAACCAGGAGAGCTGAATTTCAATCCCTGCTGGGCTAGGAAAACTGAGAGGAGAGAGTGTGTGGGGAGGCTACTTCAGCCACCTCTTGAAATCTCACTCACCTTGCAAATCCTGGAGGGATGTGGGAGTTGGCTTTTTGTTTTTCTTCTCAAAAACAGCAAAGAAAACTCAGCTCAGTCTCACTCCTTCCTAGGAGGAAAGGAAAAGGAAAAGATCAGCCTGAAGGCTTCATGGATAAAGCAAATAAAAAATATTTCCTTCCTGGATGTGACTTTGTCATGTTTATATTGAATGGGGCTCCATCCCCTCTCTTTCTCTTCTTCATGCAGCAGAACAAGAGGAACGGAGGGGTGACCTCAAGAGGAACCGAAGGAAGGAAGGAAGGAAGGAAGGAAGGAAGGAAGGAAGGAAGGAAGGAAGGAGCTAATGATGGATGGATGGATGGAAGGAAGGAAGGAGCTTATGATGGATAAAAGGAAGGAAAAACGGAAGGAAGGAAGGAAGTGCTCCTTTACTTACGCACCATCAGTTTATTTAAAGAAATCTCTCATTTTTATTGAAAGGGGAAATGTTTAATCCTCTAATTGCAGGACCATAGGATTTCTCAATCAGGGTGAACAAATTCTGCCTGTCCGTATCCACATTCAAAATATGTAGAGGGCTTTGTGGAGGGAGAGAGGATTGTACAAGACTGAATCATTCCTCTCCTTACAGCACAAACCTGCCCAGCATGAGCATTGCACAAGACCCCTCGCAGGAAATGCTGCACCCTTCCTTTAGCTGCACAACTAACTGGTTCCATGCAAACATTGACCAAAAAAATCCAGGGGATTGCTCAATGCAGTGTGTTTGTCTCAACCCTGCTGCCGGTAAATGGAGGACTACATGTTGATGGCCACAGCGCCCCCCCCTTCCCCACGTAGGAATGCTGCTTCAGGAAGACCTCAGTCACATTCCTTGAGCAAGCAGTGACCAATGCTATAGGTGTGCAGATTTGGCAACGACGGAGCATTTCGCAACCGTGTGTGTATGCATGTGCGTATAAGAGAGGCTGGAGAACAAGGGAGAGTATAAGAAGCAAGAACATCCATCTGGTCTTCGCCACATCTTGGATCTTTCTCTCTCTCCGTCTTGTGGAGCATTGACTTAGGTAAGTTTGTGGGTCTTTGTCTTTCCTTCTGTTGTCTTGGTGGCTGAGCCTTTAGCTGGGACGTAGGAGGCTACTGTGTAAGTCCAATCACTAACCGCTCAAGCAGAACAGAGCCACGGAATCAACTGGACTTTAGTATCCATGTTGACTTGCTATACGTCTAAGCTCAATGGAGCTGTCCATTGGGATCAGTTCCGATTCTTTCCTTGCTAAGCTGGTTGGCTGTATTGTTCCATCTCAGACGTCCATCCCAAACACAGAACTACTCCGAAGCAGCTCGTAGAGTCTCCTCAACACTTGGGTAAGTCAACTGTGGTATGCTGTTGGAATAACCCACAGCTCATAAACCCAACTTTGTAAGTCAATGCTTTTCTAAAGTCCGGTGGATTCAGTGGTCTGCTCTGCTTGGTGTGGGTTTCCTGTTCCATCTGTTGGAGACCAGGGGTCGATAAGATTGGTTGAAGCTCTCAAGGGTCTCTGGAAGGAGACGTTCCTTGTGCAAGCTGTTGGGGATTGATTTGGGAACAATCTGTACAGCAGGCACATGCTATGGTATTTCAGAAGAAGTAGTTTCAAGATGCAAGTTAGAACATTGGTCCATCTGACGCAGCATCATCAACGCAAGCATTGGGCGACTCCTGAATCTGATGAAACCTCTCAAGGGTTTCCAAGATGAAGTACTGCCAACTACACCTGGCAATGCTCATGACCAATCTGGCAACATCTGCATGCAAAGATGATGTTTTATAGCCAGTGGGCCCATTGGCCCACCAAACTCCGGGTTATTTTCATGGAGACGACTTGTGTCTCTCCAGATGTTAGTGGACTGCACTATGGTGATGTTGGCTACAAAAGCTAGGAAGGCTATCCAGCAACATCTGGGGGCACCGCCAATTGACTCTGGACTACTTTGATTGCCAGGGATAAGCTTCAAGGTTTGGAGATTCGGAGTCTCTCCTATCCCAACCTTGAGATACTTGGGACTAAATTTTTTAAGGAAAACAATAAAATGTTTCATCAGGAGGTTCCACAAACATCAAAGAGAAGTGTTTTTTTTAAACAAATGGCTTCTCTGTTGAACTTCCTGCTGTTATTATTAATATTATGCTTTTTTTAAAAACAGTTCTAAAGCTCAAGATGTCTCAGACTCAGCTGGAAGCATGCATTGAGACCCAGATCAACGTTTTCCATCAGTATTCTGTGCGCCACGGACATTTTGACACCCTCAGCGCCAAGGAGCTTGAGCAGCTGATTCAAAAGCAACTCCCCAACTTCTTGAAGGTGAGAAACCATTTCCTTTGGAAGAAATTGCTTGGGTTATTTGACGCGGAAAGTGCTAGCTTGGGTTTCCTTAACTAAGTTGTTTGAAGTCTGAATACTGGTTGTTCCCTTGTATTACACCAAAGCATGCAAATTGGTGCTGTCCAGATGTTGTGGATGATAATTCCCAGCATCTCCAATTATTGTGCATTCTGCGCCATCAAGTCAGAACCGACTTATAGAGGCGCTTTCAAGAGAAGCAAAGTATTTAAGGAATAGTTTTACCGCTTCCACTCCCCCATGTGAGTGCCCATGGCTGAGTGGGGATTTGAACTCTGTTCTTCAGAGTCTTAGTCTAACATTCTAATGACTAGACCACACTGGGAATCCCCTGACTAATAATCAGCAAGGTAAAAAATGGCAAGTTAGAGCACCAGTCTACTTAATCTACACAAAGACTGGCCAAATTCTGATCCTGATGAAAGCTCTCAAGGATTCCTGAGATAAGATGGCCATGTTGTTGTTGTTGTTGTTGTTGTTGTTTAGTCATTAAGTCATGTCCAACTCTTTGTGACCCCATGGACCAGAGCATTCCAGGCCCTCCTGTCTTCCACTGCCTCCCAGAGTTGGGTCAAATGCATGTTGGTTGCTTCGATGACACTGTCCAACCATCTCATCCTCGGTTGTCCCCTTCTCCTCTTGCCTTCACACTTTCCCAACATTAGGGTCTTTTCCAAGGAGTCTTCTCTTCTCATGAGATGGCCAAAGTATTGGAGCCTCAGCTTCAGGATCTGTCCTTCCAGTGAGCACTCAGAGTTGATTTCCTTCAAAATGGATAGGTTTGTTCTCCTTGCAGTCCAGGAGGTGGCCATGCTGGGGACTAATTCTGGCCACACTTGGATACAGGAAAGGAAGCTCCTAATGGAGGTAGACCAGCCCTTCAGGATCTCTGAGGAACAGTCAACTGGTGAATACTTGAGTAGACTGGGCCACACAAATGCCCCCTGAGTGGAGGTATTTCTCCATGGAAGAAGAAATAAATAATGGGACTATAATGGTCTGGTCTTTCTGTCAACAGGACTCCAAGAACCCTAAAGCTATCGAGAAGCTGTTCAAAGAGCTGGACCAGGACAAGGATAAGCAGATATCTTTTGGAGAGTATGCAGCCTTCCTCTCTCGCGTCGCCATCGCCAGCCATGAGCACATCCACCAAGAGGGCGATGATGGCCACGCCCACCACCAGCACTAAGTCTCAATGGGGAAGCAGAAGAGCCATGCAAATCATCCCAGCTTTCTGAATGGCTCCCTGCAAAGAGAGTTCTCTCCCTCCCCCCGGGGTTCCAGCTAATGCATCAAAATAATTAAAAATGTGCATTCCTCTCAAATCTCTTTGTCATGGTTTTGTCTGTAAAAAATAAAATAAAATTCAGGATCTGAGAAAAATTTCTGGTCTTGGAGAACGGCGAAGGCTTCAGTTAGGGGTCTGCTCATGAGAATTCCCTGTTACATATACTGGAGATCAGACAAGAGGGGGGGGATCCTCCAGTTTTTAACCACTTTTTGCAGCTCTGCCTGGGATAGTCCATAGTGGGGGACAATGGGTGTTGTGATCCGACCACATCTGGAGGGACAGAGTTCCCTGCCTGTGTTGCTAAACCCCAACAGGTTCCAGACAGAAATGGAGAAATGGTCGCTGATTTTGGAGGATCCTTTTTGTGGCCAGAATCAAATCGAATCATCACGCCCATCAGCTCTAATAGCCACTAATTAAGATTGCCTAGGCTGACTAGTGGCCACTTACATTGATAGGTATAACAAATGAGATTCTGTCCGACACTAATTTTGTTTTTTTTTTAAATCATAAATCTCTGTAATGGTTTCCTGTTCCTCACCCACAAAACAAGAATCATCATCCTCTGGGCTTTTCAGCAGATGGGGAAAACTAAACTGAACTTAGTGTTCACGTTTGTTTCAGAAATATAAGATGCTTCTGAGATGGGTTATTACGACGCTGTCCATTTTCTTCACAAAAAAAAACCTCACAACCGGCAGGCTCTTTGCCTGGAGAAATGTTGACCCTCCAAAGGTGGCTGGATTACAACACCCATCATCCCTGACTAGTCCAGCTAGGGCTGAGCAAGGGAGATGGGAAACAGAGTTTAGAAGTTTCTCAGTCTCTAGCTAGGCGCCCCCACAGAATAGTGGCAGCTGGCTATTCTAATTTTAGAGGTTCAGGGGACCACTCTGGGTTTTCATCCGCACTTTACAGCAATACAGAACTCTTTTTTAAAGCTCCTGTCAATTGCAGGCTCAAATCCAAATCCAAAATTGTATTCTATTTTAAGTTGAAGCTCACAGAACCTTGCATGGCTACAGGAACGTTGGCTGAAAGGTAATTCTTTTTTTAAAAAAATGCTGTAAAGAAAGAAAGAAAACATTGAACATTCCCAACCAGCAGGGGTGAATTTTGAACTCATCGTAAAATCCCCCATGATCAGCCCCTTTCCCTGGAGACTCCTGACATGTCGAACTGCTGTGTTGAAACACAGCAAGGAAGCAGTCCCTGCCATCTTCATTGCCACCAGGATTAGGTCTTTTGCAAAGCCAACGGCTCTTAATTGCCCACTGCCGATCAAGCCATGTGGATATTCTTTGCAATATAACAGGGAGAGCTCCTATGAATGTATTTCTGCTGGGGAAACTCATGCTTCCCATAGTTACTGTGAGGACGGCAGCCCAACTCAGAGGGGACAACAGTGCTCTAAAGTGGGTCGAGGCATCACCATTTACTGATTTACAAACAGTTTTAGATTTGAAAAATGTAAAAGTGGTGAATCATCCCTGTTGATCACAATGTTTGCAGGAGTTTGCCCCAGGAAGAGCTGATTGCACTGTAAAACTGGGGAATAATAATAATAATAACTCAGAACTGTAAGGGATCCTATAGATCATCTAGTCTAGTTAAGGAGACCCAATGGAGAATCGAACTCCCAGCCTCTGGTTCTGCAACCAGAGGCCTAAGCCACCAAGCAATCCAGCAGTTGGTAATAAGAGAGAGAAATACTTCCATTAAAGACCCTGGGGAGTGGCTTCTAGCTATCAAAGGAATGTTGATGGATCAAATAACCGGACCAGCAGAGGTCAACTTGGTGGAAGCCTTTTTTGGGTGGGTGCAACCCAACGGGAGTTGACGCCAACTGGTCCAAGGATGAAACGGAGATGCCTCTTGACTTCCTGGTGGGCTGCTCTTCCTCAACTCTTAAGAAACTGGCAACGTCACCCAAAGAAGCAGCTTGAAGAGAAGGATAGGCATTGTCAGCCGGGGGGTCCTCACTTCCTCCTCCACCCATCTTGCTCAACGGGTTACACAAGACGTCTATACTTCCACGTTGACATTTGAGGCAGGATGACAGGCCCTGGGAGAAAGAGGAGAGGCCACAAAGCCTCTTTCTCACAGCTTAGTGTGTGTGTGTGTGGGGTGTCTTTGTGTGTATTCTGGTTGACTAGAGATGCCCTAAAAACATCAGCTCCGGGCCTCCACTATGGATGGGGGGGAAGTCGCTCCCAGGGAATTTCCACCAGAAATTGGTCATTCCATGAACCCTCGCAGAAGCTTAAGGTTGAAGAAGCACATCTTGAGAATTGATCCAACTGTGTACTGGGAAAAGAGCTTTAAAACAATAAACACAAGCTGGAAGAAGAATGGGCCATACTAGTTGGTAGATTCAGGGTTGGAGTTTCACGTCCAACCCTCTACTCTATGCAGAAATCCAAATCAAAGCAGATCTGACAGAAGGTTGCCCAGCTTTCTCTTGAATCGAAGCGCTCACCCTCTCCCGAAGTCATGAGTTCCGTTGTCGTACTTTTCTAACAGTTAGGAAGTTTTTCCTGATATTCAGCCTAAATCTGTCTTCTTGTAGCTTGAGCCCCTTGGTATGTGTCCTGCATTCTTGGATGGTCTTCTACCCGAGCATTCTGGCCATTCATCGATCTTAAAATAATTTGTTATGAATGAAGCAGGCGAGGCTAGGAAGTGAAAAAAGCACTGATGTCTAGAAGAGGTTGTAGAAGTTGGCCTGGACACCTCATGTAAAGAAGGAAGGAGCAGATGGAGGGAGAGAACTTTACGGCATAGAAAACTTGATGCTATGACTTTATGGACAAAGATATGTGTGTGTGTGTTGCCTTTTCTTCAGCCCTTCCAGCATTCAGGTTAGGAAACTGAGTGCGTTCTTTCTCTCTTGGGTCAACAATCTTGCTTATCTGGTTAGCTTCAGTGCTGGGCTGGTGCCTTTTGTAGCTGGCTGCGTCTTGGAAAAAGGCTGCATCTCTCCAGGTCTATCATCTTGAGGTCCGTAGCTGGCAGCCTTGTGCCTCTATCCTCCTCTCTGCCCCTGCGTGAAGGTCAGTCCACCTCCCTTTTGTAAGTCAAGGTTAGTTCGGGTTGGGTGTTTGGGCAGCGTGGCTCATGGGGAAGGATGTGGTGGTTGCGCTGAGCTTTTGCTCGGTCCGAGGTATGATCCTGAGATGATGCTGGGTCTCACGACCTGTTAGGAGGCCAGGATGGCAGGAAAACTCAAGTGGGTATTTTAAGAACTGTGACAAACAGGAGACAGAGAGGAAAAAAAGGGTAAGGGGGAAATGGATGTTAGAAAAGTCACCTGGTTCATTTTGGAAGGCAGGCAAAATCTGGAGCTGATGGCACTGCCAGGTGTGAGAACGGGGAGAAGAAGGTAGGGGTGGCTCCATCAGGATCATGGTCTTCTCTCCACCCACCCACTGACCCTGGTGACATGATCTTTGGGCCTCATCGATACCTCCTGTCCTCCAGGTGTTGTCCTCTCCGGCCACATCCATCAGCCTTTTGTACACCTGCTGACCAAGGAGGCTGTACCTGTCCCAGCTTTGTAAGGTGACTGGGTGCCCACCTTGACAATGATATGGACCTCTTTTTGAGTACTGTTCTACGATGCCCATGAGGCTGTGAAAGCCTGCCATGAATGCACAGGGCAATTCTGAGCAGTGTGAAAACCCAGATGCCTTTCTGGAGGTGTCTTACCATGCTCATTTAATGGACTGGATGGTTGTGGGTCATGACAAGGCTGAGTATCACCCATCCTGGTCAATGACCTGGTGGGGTGGGCACCTTCTTATGAGAGGTCTCTGAGCCTAATGGACTGGAAGGCTGTGGGTCATGACAAGGCTGAGCATCACCCATCTTGGTCAATTGGGCACCTTCTTATGAGAGGTCTCTGAGCACAGGCTGGGGAAATCCCCATCCTGTTTTGGATTTCTGGGATCAAGGAGGAGGGAGGTTGGACCAGATGGTTTTCAACCATCCATGGACATCTGAGGTTCGGTGAAACATTTCCCAGCATGGGGGGACTTGGAGGCTTCTTGGTGGTGGAATGATATGATGGTTCTTCAGTTTCCTTTCATGCCTTTGGGTTTGGAGTCACGGATTTGAAAAGCAGAAGTGAACCACTGGGGCTTGACACAATCAACGTATTGGTCAACAACACTGGCTAGTTGCAGTCCTAGAAGGACATCTGACTCTGATACACCCTGCTCTTTCATCACCTCTTCTGAGCTGCGGTGCATGAGTGGATGTGATGGCCTGCCAAGCAGATTCTGATTCATGGTGACCCTAGTAGGGTTTCTAAAGTGTGTGAAATTTCTTGAGGGCAGTGGATGAAAGTGGGTGGCCTTTGGTGGAGAACTGCGGAGCTGAAAAGGACCCTATAGCAGTGGTCCCCAACCTTGGGTCTCCAGATGTTCTTAGACTACAACTCCCAGAAGCCTTCACCACCACCTCTGCTGGCCAGGATTTCTGGGAGTTGAAGTCCAAGAATATCTGGAGGCCCAAGGTTGGAGACCACTGCCCTATAGGTCCTCAGTTCCAGCTGCTGTCAAGCGAGCTAACTTCATCCCCTCCACCACCTCCAGGATGGTCTCCTCTTGTGTGAAGATAAAAAGGTTGGCCTGGAGAAGGAAGATTACCCACATTGACAAGGAGGCCGCACCCTTGAACTGTTTTATGGAGCTGGGGCTGTCCCACAGCAGGAAGCTGTAAGCCACCAGTTGCAACAGGTCTTTTAAAACCTTGTCTTCAGGCGAGTGGGGCAGCATTCCTTGGCAAGCCCAAGACGAGAAAAAAAAAGAGGAAGCCTGAACCTGTCCCTCTGCTCCAAAGAGGGGAACAAAAGCAACAGGGAAGACTTCTCATGGGGTTACACGGTGGTCCAGAACTGAATCTGGACATCTTTCCGTTCTCAAAGAAGCTGGGGAGGTGGTATGGGTTAAAAACGACATGCCATTTTGAAACCACCACCACCTCTAACATCATTCCTTCTCTGTTGTCGTAATTTGTCATATTAAGACAGGTCATCATCATCATCATCATTATCATTTTCGACCTGCAGAGCTGGAGGGGACCTTTTGGATCATTGAGTACTGCCATTGTCAAGGAGGCACACTGGGGAATTGAACTCCCATCGTCTGGCTCCGCAGCCAGAGACCTAACCCGCTGGGTTATCCATGCAACTCCATTCAAGCAGTTTTCAGCCCATCTTGTCTGTTGTCCACAGTAGAGTCAACCTTGGTGATATATAGATGGCTTGCCTGGCGTGAGAAAGGCTAAGTTACTGGTGGGTTTCATGGCTTCTGACATGATGGAACATAATTTGGGCCAAACTATATTTTCCCCACACCCATAGAGACAATTTTCTGACCCCTGCCTTTCCCCCCCACATGCCCTGCCTCAATGTATGTTGCTCTTCCTGAGTCCCCAGGACATGTGGATTGCCTCTTAACACCAGTCACAGGGGCCTCAGCAGAAAATATCTATATTTTTCTAGACCTCAAGCCAGTCATAGTTGAGTTGAGTTGAGTTGTGTTGACTTACGTTGACTTGACTTGAGTTGAGTTCATACCATTTTAGGTAGTCCATACACACCCAGGAGATCACAAAATTGGCCTGATATCCACCCCCCATGCCAGGTTGCCTTTCTATGGTGTAAAAAATGGCTTGACAAGGTCTTTACGTTAGAACCCAGAGTCTTAATTAATTTTTCCTCTCCAACAGTTTTGTGTGGCTCTCTTCCCAAACCATCCTCAGTCATCTCACTGTTGTTTTGTTGAGAAGGAGCGTGGGTATGAAGGTGGGCATCTACGAGGAGTTGAGAAGTTATCCCACACTTTGTGGAGGTCCGTGTGTGGGAAAAGCCTGAAACAGAAGCATGAAGATTCCTCTTTCACTTATTTCCCAACCTTTCCTTCCTTTTCTTTTAAGATTCCCTGAAGAAAAGTCTTGTCTATTGGATGGTTTCTGCTGCCTCTTTGTGGCGTCTATGAAGAAGGCAGCCTGACCGAAAAAAATACCATCAGATTAGGGCTGACGGATCAGGTTTACCTAAGCTTTTGCTTGAAGAATCTCTTTCTCATCAGTTCCTTTGAGAATGGAGTTAAACCTCTTGGTGTAGAGCCATTGAGTAGCGTTCAACAACATTCTCTTCTTCTCTTTTCTATCCACAGTAAGTACAAATGGTCTACACAGAAACAGGCTTCCAATCTGAGTCCATCTCTAGACAATTCTTCCCAACGCTGATTGGCAACCGTTCTCCATGATTTCAGGCTGGTTTTCATCCCTTTCCTTTCCTTTCATCCGAATGGAATTTTATCAAGACGTTTGGACACAAACCTTGGTCAACTCTGCCCTTCGTTGGGACCAACGAAGAGAATGGGGGGGGGTGGAGCAGCAGAATGCTCTTAAGACTGGCCATTAATGTAGTCTCGAAGGCTTTCACGGCCGGGATCGGAAGCGAACGGAGGGTGGTGATGGAGGAGCAGAAGTTCCTCTTGGAATGCTCTTAAGACTGGCCATTAATGTACTCTCAAAGGCTTTCACGGCTGGGATCTGATGGTTGTTGTGGGTTTTTCAGGCTCTTTGGCCATGTTCTGAAGGTTGTTCTTCCTAACATTTCGCCAGTCTCTGTGGCCATGGCCATCTTCCGAGGACTGGAGTAGGAACTTTCTCCATGCACTGTTGCTGTTTGTTGGATAGTTGGTGTTTGTTGCATAGTCTCAACTATCCAACAAACAGCAAGAGAGCATGGACAGAGTTCCGAGTCCAGTCCTCGGAAGATTGCCATGGCCACAGAGACCGGCGAAACATCAGGAAGAACAGAACACGGCCTGAAAAACCCACAACAACCAACTGGCCATTAAATTCACATGGATGGGTCTTCTAAAACCATATGAGGAAGCTACTGTATCTCATTTTGGTCTAACTGGAGACCCTTTGTCCATCTCTCTTAACTCTGTGCCCAGCTGTGAAACTCTTCTGCCTTATCTGCTCCTTGATCCTTTGAGTTGTAGCTGTGAAACTCTTCCGCCTTATCTGCTCCTTGATCCTTTGAGTTGGAGAGGGATTTATATCTAGGACCTTCTTCATGGGATGAAAGCGCTTTGCCACCTTTAATGAGGATTGATATCTAGGACCTTGTTCATGGGATGAAAGCGCTTTGCCACCTTTCTCCTCCCGTGTGTGTATATGTGTGTGAGTTTCACTGAACAGAATCACTACCGCCCTTGTCAAGCCACCAAGCATGTCTAAGGCTCTTGACTCACCCGTGACTCATCTGTTAATAACAGGGTTGTAACAATGGCATTACACAAGTTGCTATATAGGGACCTTCCTCAAAAGTTGGTCCCTTAATTAAGCTCAGGGAAGAGAAGGGTCACATTTTCTGGTTCTGCCTTCATGATGCCATGGAGGAAGCTTCCGATTCAAAAGCACATGGCGTTACCGCTTGCCGTAGAATCTCCCGCCCACACCCTTTCTGCTGTAAAAAGCCTTCTGATTTCCCTGTTAATCCATCACCTCCCTTCAAACAGAAGGGATAAGAGAAAGCCGAGGCTTTTCAGAAGGAAGCTTCTGCTCAGACAAGGTGCTAGAGGTAGGTCTCAAATTCTGTGTCGTTTTTCTTTAAAAACCTGAAGATTATACATTATCCAGACATGTGTTAAGTTTTTGTTTTGGGGAATCTTGCCACTCCAGATGTTCTGGGCTATCACACACATCATTCTTTACTCTTTGCCTTCCTTTCCTGGTGTGATGGGACCTAAAGTTTCACAATTTCTGCAGGGACAAAAATGTTCCCCACCCTGGATTAAATATGAAGCTTGGAACAGGTGACCTGGAGGGAGATTGTATCAATATGAACCAAGTTTATTGTGCTGGGTTCCCAAACTTAAGTCTTTCAGCTTAATGGATCAGATCCAGCATTATTCTGGTGAAGGAATGGACAACATCTGATCTCCCAGGCTCTGTTTGACTGCCTCTTTCCTTGTGTTCCACCATTATCCAAGCTGATGAGGCCAACAAAGACATATAGAGGACCAACATCTATAGTCTCCTAGAACAACCTCTTGGTTGCAGTCTTCGGCAACCTGACACCTCTGCGATGTCCACAAGTTCACCACCCCTCCGGTAGTTTTGTTCAAACTGCTTTTATCATTCAGATGTTTGCTCCTGCATTGGGAAGGTAGAGGTGAGTTTTCACCTCACCTGGTGGCCCCAAGCCTTCAGATACTGTAAGGAGAAGGGCTTCATCTTCAACAAGCATTCAAACCAGGATCCAGAGAGTAATCCATCACCATCATACCACAAACACTATGTATTTCAGATCCTTTGATCTCTCTGGCTTGGATTAAGAGAAAATGCATCTATTTTACTCCACCGCTTTTAACAAATTCTGCAGAGCCTGAGGTTGGGAGTTCGATTTCCTACGGTGCCTCCTTGACAGGGGCTGGACTTGATGATCTATAAGGTCCCTTCTAGCTTTGCTGTTCTGACTATTATAATTTGCCACAGGTTGGTTCTGAGCTATTGGGCCGGGACGCCAACAGAAGGAAGATGGTCGTGTTGAAGATCCTTCTGCTTCTTCTAGGCACTTTGCCAACAGGTGAGTTGTGGTACAGTCCTCTGCGAGACTCTTGTGGTACTGTCCTTTGTGTGACCGTTATGGTACGGTGCTCTGCCTGACTCTACCGCCTGACCTTATAGTTGGAGGAGGTACAATATTGTCAAGCATGGGGAAGCTGTGCCCCTCCACGTGTTGCTGGACCTGAACCCCCTTCAGACCCAGAGAGTCACTGGATGATGGACATTGTAGTCTTCCAACACCTGAAGGTGGCACTGCTGCTCTGTCAATGGATCCCTTCGCATGTGGTTCTAACCTCATATATGAACTCAGTTGTCCAAATATTGTTGGATGTGAGACTCAGTGAGACAGCACGGCAAACACACATTTCCAGTTGTGTTAAAATTATGGCCCTGGTGATGACAAACCAAGATGACGAGATTTTATTACTCCTCATTAGCAATCAGGGTCCGACTGACTGAGCTGAAAATGTTTTCGCCTGCTCAAAATCGGTCACGGTTGGTGAGAAGACGCTCCATCTCAGAGAGAACTTACATGAACTGATGTAGCAGCTCTGAGCTCTGGGATTTATAAGGCCCTGTGGCAATGGATTGGCTCTTGATGGTCAGCTGATGGGTTGGTCAAACTACTGCCATCTAGAGGGCATTGTCAATATATATATACTGACAATGCCCTCTAGGTGGCAGTAGCTTGACCAACCCATCAGCTGACCATCAATTTTATTTATTTATTCATCTATTTATATTTTTACCCACCCACCATGAAGGTGGTGGGACTGAGAGAAAGGCCTCCCCTCATGATCTTAATTCCCAAACAGGCTCATAGAGGGAGATGCAGTCTTTCAAATAGCCTGGAGCCAAGCTGTTTAGGGCTTTAGTGGTTAAAACCAGCAACGCACAAAGCTCATAACAAAGATAGCAATGACAACACTGCCAAGGTGCTGTAGATAGACTGCTGCAGTTCTTGGAGACCCATGCTTCTCCTAACTGCTTCAGCAACCTTCAACGTTGTGTTTCCACAGTCACTCCCTGTTTCCAGCTCATCACCCCCTCCAAGTGGGGAGCCAAGCCTGCTAACTGTTCCGCACCCTTGCAGACCACCCTGCCGGAATATGCCGTCATCATCCACACGTCCGGAACTCCCTGCAGGTCCCGCGCTGAATGCGCGAGAGAGACAAGGAATGTCCAGGATTACCATCAACGCATCAAAGGGTGGTGTGATATTGCCTACAGGTGAGATCACGGAAGTACCCACAGGGTTGTCTTCTTGTATAGAAGATGATCCTTTCATTTTCCTTTGCCAAAGCTACTTTTATAAATGCAACCGTGACTTGGTGAGCTTCTCCTCAGTAGACGGTCCCACCAGGGTAGACAAACGGGGTGGTGCCACTTGTCCGATGGTGAACAGCCAAGGGTTGTTTCATCACAGGAGTGCTTGTAGAAGGGGTGGAACCCTGCACTAACACACCGGTGGGACTTTCGGCTTTGGACCTTGGACGAGAGATACAGTGGTGCCTCGCTTTATGATTGCCCTGCATTACGATGATCTTTTTGTGATCGCAATTGCGATCACAAAACAATGTTCTGAATGGGTTTTTTTCGCTTTGCGATGATCGGTTCCCTGCTTCGGGAACTGATTCTTCGCAAAACGATGATTTTCCTCCAGCTGATCAGCGGTTTCAAAATGGCCACCGGGTAAATAAAATGGCTCTCCGCTGTGTTTTTGGATGGATTCCTCGCAAGACAGCCACCGAAAATGGCCACCCTATGGAGGATCTTCGCTGGACGGTGGGTTTCCAGCCCATTGGAACGCACTGAAGGGGTGTCAGTGCGTTTCAATGGGCTTTTTATTTTCACATTACGACGTTTTCGTTCTACAGCGATTTTGCTGGAACGAATTAACGTCGTAATGCGAGGCACCACTGCATAACCTTAGGAGTCAAGCCAGCTGTGTAAACAGGATAGAGTAGGAAGAAAACTCATGTCTCCATTTCTGACCGTCCAGCTTCCTGATTGGTGAAGACGGATATGTGTACGAAGGCCGAGGCTGGCGCAACGAAGGTGCTCACACTTATGGCTACAATGATTTGTCTCTCGGCATCGCCTTCATTGGCACATTTACTGGTAAGTTTGGTGATATCTTGGTAAAGAAACACAGTCGCACTCACCGAAGGCAACACCTATAGGGCAGGACTGAGCAACTGTGAACCTTCAAGAGGTTGATGGGCTTCATCCATCAACGTCTTGATGGATGAAGCCCATCAAGATGGGCTGTTGATGGATGTTGATGGTACAGTATCTCAGTGGGAAGACATTGGGACCATCATGCCTTTGAGGTTTAAGGACTGGACATGTTCTTCTCCCAAAGCCAATGTGAGCAGACTTTGGAGGCACAATTACTCGTGGTTGACACAAAGTGGTATCCGTAGTCTCTGGGATTCTGGCTTTCTTGGTACCGAAAATCCCTTCTGTTGACCAACAGCCTTGACGGTACAGGGGGTTGAACCACCACGGTGACAGAGCCCCTGTCTTCAGTCCGGTAATAGGTGGAGCTCCCTTGAAACTTATCTGTCCTGTGTTGTTCTTTCACGCAAGAAACCAGCGAGTGAATTGACTTGTTTATGGTGCTAAACGATGGGGTGGAGAAATGAAGCACTGCTTGTAGGTTAATAGCACCCAGTGATGTTTGCAGGATGTGCCCAGCCCAGGGGTTGACCGTTCCAGTGGTTATCCGAAAATCTTGAGTATGCCTTGGGTTTTTGAGTCAGCTACACCTGATGGGACATGCAGTCCAAGACCCAACCCTGCTTCATTGTTGCTCTCTGTTGACCCCATAAATGCTCACAGATATTACACCGGGGAAAGGTTCTCCAAAATGCCATAGCCTCCCTGGCAGTCTCTCCACCCTTCGGACTGTATGTTGTGCATAGGATCATCGAGTCATCAGAGACATGCCAGAAATGGGAGGCTCTTAAAAGCATACACCGTGGGTTGTGTTAAAGAGGTGGGTGGCGGCGATGGAACACAATCACGGAAGTCAGACTGCTTCAGGAATGTGGCTTTGGCAAATTCTGATGGAAACTGGCACCCTGGACTTACCACAAAGTCAAAATATGTCTGTCCTTTGGAACTGAATTGTTTCTGGATTGTGATATGCCATTCTTAACCAAATATACCAGAATAAGACCCAGAGATGTATTTGGTCACAGGTTACAATTTTATCTGATTTTTGCATTATTTCCAGATACTAAGATGTATTATTTTGGACTGTATCCCTGAGCATAGCCCAGGGAGAATGGGGGTTTCCTCAGAATCATAATACAGGAAAAAGTAACTTTTCTGATCTCATGCTTTAAAAAATGACACAGTTTGACAGCCCCTTTCACAAGTGGGCTTTCCGAGGTCAACTGTTGACTTGTTAAGTTCTAGAACGTGGACTTCTAGATGTTATTAGATGTCAGCTCCCCAAAGCCTCACCCCAGAGGGCCAAAGATCAGGGCATTATGGGAGTTGTAGTCCAACAAGATAGGGGTCTGTGAACCCCTAGCCTCCAGCGGCCTTTGAAAAGCTATAGACTTTGAGATTCGTTGGGCGACAACTCCCATGTGAGCCAGCCTTTCTGGGTCACCTGTGTGTTGCTTGGGGATGATGGGAGATGTACTCCAATATTTCTGGATGGTGGTGGGTAGGGTTCAGCTGAGCCTACAGGAGGAAAGATGGGGTGGTCCTCAGTTTGTAGGGATGCATTTTGTAATGTGAAGGAATATGTGTATGAGATGGTCAAAAAAGGACCTTCTTATCTTCTAGAGAAACTTCCCAACCAAGCGGCATGGAAAGCACTAAAGTGTCTGCTGGAATTCAGTGTGAAGGTCGGTTATTTGGCCTCCGATTACCTCATCGTAGCCCACAGCGACATCAGCGATATGGTATCGCCTGGCGACCCCGTCCTCCGAGAACTTACCAAGTGGTCAAACTATAAACACAACTGAAGATCGGTTCTACCACCTATGCAGTCTTTGGCCTTCAACGCTTGCTGTGGAAGTATATGAAGAAAAAAAAAGAAAATGGCAATATATATATATATTAGACTATGGGTGGGCCTTGTAGCCAGAGGTTGGGAGTTTGATTCCCCCACTGGGCCTCCTTGATAGGAGCTGGACGTGATGATTCACGGGGTCCCTCCCAGCTCTGCCGTTCTAAGATAAGGAAGAAGAAGAAGATGATGGAATGGTTTCTCTTCTTCTTCTTTAACAGCCTTCCCTTACAGTTTTTGCTCTGGAATTTTGCTAAATTGAGGGTTTCCCTCCACATGGTTTACAGCCCTTTCTTCTTGAACTGAAATGCTGTTTCATACTGCTCAATTATATACTTTTTTTGGGCACGTGTTTCAGTTTAAGCTTTGGAAAGAAAACAAATGTTGCATCAGATAGATTGTCAGGCAGGAGAAAGGATAGATCAACACGATGACACAAGAAACTCTGTGGTGTTTTGAATCTTAATGGTAATGTGTTCAAAAGTGGTGTTTTGAATCTTAACGGCAGCGTGTTTAATAAAGGAACGCACAGTCTCTCTGTTCTGGGATTCGTAGCAGCTTGGTGTTTAATTCTGAGTCAAGAAATAGTGTGGGTTTTGAGGGAGAAGAAGGAAAAATGACAATTTGTGAAAAACATGCTTTTAAGACAATTTTTCCTGGTTGTACCTTCTGAATGGGATTGGGAAGAAATCTAGTGTGATAAAAAGTAAATAAAGCAACTGATGTTTTAAAAATCCATCGAATATTATCGCAGAGTGAATATTCAAACATTAAAGCAGTTGGGTGGGAACAGGGAACAAGAGGTGTCGGTGTGGCCATGACATCGGATCTTTCCCCCAAAGAGTGAGAACTCCAGTAGAGCGTTCCCCTCAGGCAGATATAGAGTAGAGCCACTTAAATTCATCGTGACCAACTGGAGACCCTTTGGTTTCCATGGATCTGCTCCAAGTATGACTAGATTTGGATCCCCAGGGATGGGATCTTCCAGTGAATGAACTGACAGAAGGTGGGACCTCAACTGTGTTTGTAAGATGGTTCTTGCCCTCATATGTACATCAAAACATGCTGTACAGTTCCTAGACAATTAACTCGCAGTCTCATTTTTTGGTGGACCAATGCGCCTCTCGTGGATTGATCCCAGCCGTGAAGCTGAGTCGATGGCAAACTTGTTGAATTAGTTTGCTAAATTTAATCCATAGATCAAGTGGATGGTGGCATCAGAACTGGCTTGGCTTGATGCCCAGAACTGTTGCTGCTCTCAGCGTGTGAGACATACTCTTTTTCCTCACTCTCTGGATTCCACCACCAGCTTAGGGCCAGATCATTCCCTTGTTTCTCCTTCTCTCTCCTTCCCTTCCTCGCATGGATACCTTCCTGATCACCTGGGAGTGTTCCACCTCCAACGCAGGAGGAAAATGGAACAACAACAGCAACGGAGGAGCAGGTTTTACAAGAAGGAGACTTCATCATCCACCACCCACTTTCTCTAACTGATGGGCATAAAAGAAGGAGGAAGTAGACAGCTGATTTTTACTAAGGTGCATTTGTACAGATAGTTTCTTCCCAGTCCACCACACGGTACTGCTGAACTGGGTAAGTCTGGAGATTATCTTCATAATTGGTTTTGATTTAGAATTCCAGGGTCAGTTTGGAAGTCCAAGACACCCTTGTTCAGGTCCCTGTTGTGAGATGTTACAGGCGTTGCGAAAGCTGCTGTCCATGATGACTGCTCATCCCCCAAGATCGATCTCTAGACTGCGGCACATAGGACACCGAACAGCAGATCCAGTGTGGCAATATTGAGAAGTCATAACAGAGCATGGAAGGGACTAGTTGCAGCTTATTGACCATCATCCACTCCGAAATCAAACAATTTCCCATCTCAAGCACTAGCTGACAGTTTTCAAAGCCTCTACAGGGCCTGATGGAAAGGAGAGATAAAAATGGGTGTTGCCTAAATTGCTGATGATCTCCAGATCCAGATCTCCTTATGACCTCATCTGTTGGTTGCACGTAGATGTTGCACGCAGGACAGAACCTTAAAATACTGTATGCACTGGGAATATACAAGGGCTACCTGTGTTCTCCCCCACTAGACAGATGGTTTTGTCTTTGATGCTTCTTCCCTTAGTATCTATAGAATCATAGAGCTGAAGCTCATTGTAGAACGTCACTTAGATTTACTTCTTCACCTCTTTATGTTACGCTTTGAGTGGAGAGAAAATGGGACATCTAGTATAACTTCTGAGCAATGTATTAAAGACCTGCTGGATAGCTCAGTGGTTTAAGTCTCTGGCTGTGGAGGGTTCAATTCCCTACTATGCCACTTTGACAGGGGCTGGACTCAATCATCCATAGGGTCGCTTCCAGCTTTATCATTCTAAGCTTATGATGATGACGATGTTAGGTTTAAAATGGGCTGAAGGGAAGTCTCTCGTTCTGACTGTCGGTCTTTCTCTTAACCTTAATTGCAGAAGAGGTAGCCAAGTCTTGGTTGGTTGGTTGGTTGGTTTCTGCTTTGAAATTAAAGTGGTTTCAGCACCACAAACCACTGCATGATTGTGTTGTGGGTGCTTCCTGTTGCTTGCCACCTAGGAAGTGAAGACACTTCCAGGACCACATCCTGTAGAGGCCTCAAAAGTTGGCCAACAGGCCTGCTGCTTAGGCAATTAGTGGCCCCACAATTGCAGCATTCAATGACCCATTGTGCCTCTACTCCTGGATTTTTTTTTAGCAACAAGAACATTTCCTCTTCACTGGTTGGAGAAATATTACTAATTTTTTTTAATCCCATTATCCAATTTAAATAAAGGCACCAGCTAATTTGAAGCCTAAAGATCCAATCTAAAATAATAGCCAGGCAGGACATTTAGACCGCTCTGAAACGCAGCTACAAAATCCTGTTGTTAAAAATAATAAGACCGCAAGACCAAGCATACATAATTGGGTGCAATGCTGATCCTGTAAGTTCAGTGGGTGTCATTAGACCCATATTTCAGAAGGACAAGCTGAGGTTGAGACAGTAAGTTGGCCAAACTCAAGCTCATGAGGTACTATAATTGGTTCCGTGGAATTTGAACCCGGAGCTTTCTGGTTCATAGCTTTCCTCAGCCTCCCCAGAGATGCAGACCTTTGGAGTGTGACAGTCAGACTACAAAACCTGTCTTTCTCTGTGGGTTGGGGATAATGGGCTTTGTAGCCAAAAAGACGGTGGGTTGGAGGAGTCTGGTTTAGCCCTTCTGCTACCTCAGTTATCAACAGAGGCGAGAAGCTCCTGTGTGACTAGGTGTTGATGCTGATTGTCCTGGCATTAATTTGGATGGGTGTGGGAGTTGTGTGTGGCCTATTTTCTTGACTGAGTCGTTAAAAGCAGCCCGTCCATCATCCACCTCCTTGTTTTCCCAAGCTGAAGAAATGGATCATAATGTCTGAGGCGACAACTTGAGCAGAGTTGGAAGAACAGGGACTTTCAGCCTCTCCTCTGCTTGGTTGCCTTCACTGGGGCCTCTTCAGACTAGCCTTCCTGGATCCTTGCTAGACTCACCAAGACCCTTCCCTGAAGATGTCCAAGCTGATCAAAGCCTTCACGGACCTGATCGAGGGCAACTCGAAGGTCAGCCACAAGAAGGTGAAGGCGGCAGAGACGTTCAAGAGGAGTGAGTTTAAGAAGCTGATCCAGCAGGAGGTGCCACCTGTCAAGGTAATCCTTTTAGAGATACAGGTTGTTGTTGTTTAGTCATTTAGTCATAAAGGCCAGCCACAAGAAGGTGAAGACAGCAGAGACATTCAAGAGGAGTGAGTTTAAGAAGCTAATCCAGCAGGAGATGCCACCTGTCAAGGTAATCTTTTAGAGATACAGGTTGTTGTTTAGTCATTTAGTCATGTCCAACTCTTCGTGACCCCATGGACCAGAGCACGCCAGAACCTCCTGTCCTCCACTGCCTCCTGGAGTTGGGTCAAATTCATGTTGGTTGCTTCGATGACCCTGTCCATCCATCTCGTCCCCTGTCGTCCCCTTCTCCTCTTGCCTTCACACTTTCCCAACATTAGGGTCTTTTCCAGGGAGTCTTCTCTTCTCATGAGAAGTATTGGAGCCTCAGCTTCAGGATCTGTCCTTCCAGTGAGAGAGACCGGAGCATCATCTAAATGTGGGACTCAGCGTACGAACAGAGGAGGGAGTAAGGAAGAAGGAGGAAGCAATTCCTAGTGAATCATCTCAACTTTCGTAACTGACCCCAAAATGGGACCAGTGTCTTAGGCTACTGGGAGGAAAGACGTGTAGCAATGTTATGAAGCATCTCTCTGTACAATCAGCCAATACTTCTGTAGGGTTTGAAGCAAGGGTGGGCAGATCTAATGAGAAGGTTCTCCAGGTGATCCTCAACAGATCGACAGAAGTTTCTGATAGTTCATTGGTTAACTACGCGACATCTCAAAAACCTCCTCCACAATTAATAACAATGTCGTTGAGTCAGTTCTAACTTATGGTGACCCTTCTCAGGGTTTTTGCAGGTAGAGAATACTCAACGTGGTTGACACTTCCCTTCTTCTGGGGTGCCCTGGGGCTGTGCAGCTGGCCCAAGGCCACCCAGGTTGGCTCTTCTCTCTGGAGGCACAGCGAGGAATCAAACTCCAGATCCCTAAATGATTGTCCAGCCAGTTGCCTCCCCAAATGGATTGCCAAAAAAAAAGCCATATTTCTCAGCCTGTTGGGTCCCTCAAATGACCCTGAACATCTCATGCCCGCTGACCCCTGTTTTGCTTGAAATTTGTAATCTTGTGGCTATGCATTCGTTTTTTCTTGATACTTAGTCTTCAGGCTGGTTATTTATCACGTTCCTCTCTTTCTCCCGCTGCTTCTGGCGATCTTGTAGGTCCAGAGAATGAGCAGCAATAAATATAAGCACATGAAAAACTCCCTCGATGCGGATGCTGAATTGATGGACAACAAAGAAATCATGCCATGAGCATGGCTTATGGTAAATTTGACCGAGCTGCGACAGGAAAGAAGGTAATTTCCACGGGAATATATAAAATTAGAATATTATTCTCAAACTTCCTCAACTTTCTGTACGTCAA